GACATAGTAAGGCCAACCTGAAATACATGAAACTCTGTCTCAAAAATAAATATTTTAAATCCATTTTCCCTGCTCCCAAATCCCTCCCTCCCCTGCCTCTGCCCCAAGACAGAGCCTTGTCTGTGTGTAGCCTTGGTTGTCCTGGAACTCACTCTGTAGACCAGACTGGCTTGGAATTCACAGAGATCCACCTGTCCCTGGTTTCCAAGTGCTTGGAATAAAGGTATATACTACCCCTACCCCCACCTAACCTTTTTATTTTTAAATCTATTTTAACTCTGTTCAATAGAAATGTATATGAGACACAGATTTTTAAGTGTTATAGGAGCTATATTAAATAGTTAAAAAGAAAACAGGGCAGGTGTGGTAACAGACACAGACAGATCTCTGTGAATTCTAGACTAGACAGGGTTACATAATAAGATCCTATCTCAACATCAAAAACGAACAAACTAAACTAAAAAGAAAACAGAAAAATCTTAATAAATTTCATTTAACCTGATATGTTCATTGCAATATACAACTAATACAGAAAATATTAATACGATATTTTACATTTTAAAAACACTAAGTCTGCCTAATACCTAATAAGCCAACACAGTGTATATTATTTTACATTGTTGGACTTCTTGCTTGTGTGTTCAAGTATATAGTACATATTTATGTTTTCAGAACATTTAAATTTGGGTCATCAACATTTTAGTCACCTAGTTAGAATATGTGGCTCTCCATGCCCAAATTGGAGAACACAGCTCCGTAAAGCAATAGCAGCTAGCGTTTATCGAGTTCACTATGTGCTGGGCACTGCCCCAAGTCCACTATGTATGCACTGTAACTCATTCCGCCTCACAATAACTCCAGGAGGATAGACTTGTCGTCATCTTAAGCATATATTACTCTCGCAAGGAAATGGTCACGAAAGTGTCGCAAACCGTTTTCCTGTTATGATGGGGTAGAAGTCTGGCTGCAAGGGCTTGAGTACAGAGGAAGTGGGAGAATTGGCCAGAGGCAAAAGTTATTCAGAAAGCTGGATGGTCAGTAGGCTTGATGACATACACTAATAATCCCAGCTCTCAGGAGACAGAAGCAGAGAATCACTTTGAGTTTAAGTGCAATCTGATTTACATAGTGAGTTCCAGGTTTACAGAATGAGATCTTGTCTCAAAGTGAAAAAAAAATTAAGAAAAAAATCAAGAGCTGACAGAGGGAAACACGATACAAGAAAAATCTTCTGAGGGGTGGAGAGACCTGTAGGGGAGGTAGAGGGAAGAGGAAGCAGGGAGAGGGAACTGCAAGGGATACGGATGAGGGCACTGTGCTGAATGGAGTTTCCCACTAGCAGAGGCTCTGATGCAGAGATTGCCTGGCTTGGCCAGACATTGCACCACAGCCTCACAGCTAAAGGGAAGACTTGGAGATGCTTAGTTTATCACAACAAAGAGGGCAGCAATAGTAACTTTAATCCAGGGCTTCTATGGAGTGGGGTGTTGGCCCTAGGCATCATGCATTACCTGATTTAATCTCTGCAGAATTCCCATAGAAAGCAGGCCTCTTAACGGGTATGCAACTGAGGTTTTGTTTTGTTTTGTTTGTTTTTCCAAGACAGGGTTTCTCTGTGTAACCTTGGCTGTTCTGGAACTCTGTAAACCAGACTGGCCTCAAACTCAGTTCTGTCTTCTCTGTTTCCTGAGTATCTCCTGCCTCTGTCTTCTGAGTGCTGGGACTAAAGGTAAGAGCTGCCACCTCCAGCTCCAAGGCAAGATTCTTAATCAAGTCTCAAGGTTCAGTACGCAGAGTCTGGATTTGGGTGCATGCCATCTCAGAGACCAAGGAAAGAGAAGGAGACAGAACTAGTACAGGTGGTTCAGGTTTGACTAGCGGAATAGGAGGCAAGTTTCTCTGGAGAAATCATGGCGATAGGTTGGACAGATGTAGATTAGAAGAAAACAGCCTGGCAGATGTGTGTGTGTGTGTGTGTGTGTGTGTGAGAGAGAGAGAGAGAGAGAGAGAGAGAGAGAGAGAGAGAGAGAGAGAGAGGTGCTTCAGTCTCCTGCAGAGCCCATCAGTTTGGATGGGTAGGAAGAATGCAGGTTTATGCAGGTTTGACTAAAGTGGGCAGAAGTCCGAGGGTGGAAGGAGGGGTATCTTTGTAACGGAAGGTGTGGTGGGAGAGGCTTGCAGTCTGTGGAGGGGCAGAGTAGGGTGGACGGCATGACGAGAGAAGGTTGGAACTTTGATGCAAAATCCATAAAGGGATGGAAGCCTTAGCGACTTCTCCAGTTGCTGCAGGGGAGTAGCTAGAAAGAAGAGGCCCTAAGGGGGGGACAGAAACAGGGAATCGGGCAGAGGATTAATGTCTGCAGACTGACGGGAGGGAATTGGGGGATTACAGGAGAGCAAGAGTGAGGAAGGGTAAGTGAGAAATTGCCCAGAGCACGGCAGCATCTCATGTCTCATCCTAGGGATATGAGTCTGGGTCGACCCGTAGTCCTAGAGAACAGATTAGGGTGGAACCTGGCACGGTTCCTCCTCCACCCAGTAACCAGATTCAAGTCAAGCTCCTCTATGCTCTACTTCATCATCTGCAGGAGATTGGGGGGGTTAAAAAATGACAGTGGGTGTCAAAGAATTTCAAAAGCACCACAAGGAAAGCTGTGGTCTAGAAAGTCTGTGATTTAGGAGTCGTCGTGAACCAAAGCAGGTACTTTGGATACAAGACTGGGATGGTGAAAGCAGTCCCAGCTTCCCGACCTGATTTGCCTCCTTTAACTAGCTTTAGTAGCTTTTAGCTACTACCCAGGCTAGAAGTGAAGGTAGAAAACGGGAACCTAAAGATGGGCCGGTCGGATTCAGCCCCAGAAAACAGCAATGGTATGGGTTCCGTCTTCACAGAAAGCCCAGCACTTAGTTGTCTCCCCAGAGCATAGGCCTAGACAATTTTATTCACTGGAACCTGCGTCTCTGCCCAGGTCTTGCTCCAACAAGACCAGACCACCTTTCAGATCCTCACCTCTGCCATTTTAGTGATCAAGACCCCACCAGCCAGGCACGTCCCTTTGACAGGACGTGGCAAAAAGGGGAGGAATTAGGCGTTACGTGGACAGTGAAGCGGGAGGTGAAGGGGGACAGTCCCAGACAGGAACGAGAGAAGGGGAGAAAACGCCTCACAGAAGCGGCAGAGATCCGGAGAAACCAGTGAGAGACTAGGCGCTCAGCGCAGAACGGGTAAACGAGTGGGTACCCAGAGAAGTCCGAAGATCCGACCCTGGGTCGTCCAGGATGGGAAGGGGCTGCAAGGTGCGGTCCTCTTTCAGCCTCCTCTCGCCTCCTCCTCCCCATCTCGCCCAAGGGGGCCGGAATGGCACCAAGAGCGGGGGCTTTTCGGAGCAGTCGACTGGAAAATAGACTTTAACCCGCTTTGTAGCTGCGAGGGCGCCCGGAGCGCTCAACTGGACCAAGGCTCCTGGCATTCCGGCGGGCCGCTGCCAAGACCTGGCCTGGAGTCCCCGCAGAGTTGTAGAGCATGGAGATCGCACTGCCCTTCGGGTCTCAGGAGGCCAGCTCGGACTTGAGCACTCGGGCCATGATCTGGCCAGTAGAACTCACCCGGTCAGAGACAAGTAAGCAGAATTCTCTTCGATCTCCTCCCCGCCAAACGCGAGCTGGGTCCGACCCCCTAAATCAGAGCCCTCTTAGGCCACAGTGCCCTAGAGGGCTGGGGTGGAAAGTTTACAGAATACAGTTTCTAATAGTCAACTGCCCTCTCGCCCTCTAGGCTTAGTTAGCCTAAGCAGATTGGCGCACTGCCCTGCGGTCGCAGGTGGAAGGGAAATGTCTGAGGGGCCAGGATGCCTCTGCTATCGAAGGACCGCTGGCCTGTCCTCACGAGTGGCAGGCGAGCAGCAAGGCCAGCCCCAATTTAGGAAACAGTGACCCAAATACCCCCTTTTGGCCTGGTCATAGAACACTGGAGCCCGAGATCGCTCTGCGCTTGAGGACCGCAGTCCGGTGGGAGACAGCCGCTGTGCGGGGCCTGGCAAAACCGCTGCATTCGAGCGCCGCGGCTGCTGGAGAGCTGCGGAGCGATAGGTTCTGTGGCTTCTTTCCGGACAGTGCGAACCTGGCCCCTGGTGAAAAGAATGCACGTTCTATTTGAAGCGCTGTACTCAGAAACATCCAGAAAACGCGAAATTTCAGGAACATACCGCAGATTTATAATAGGGCTCCAGAGGCCGATGGTGGGTGAGCCGGAGGGCTCCCTTAGGTTAGGCGAACGTGTAGCAGGTTCTCTGGAGAATCTAGGCGGGACCCCAAACACCCATCCAAGTTCCCTAAGAAATGAAACAACGTCGCAGGACGAAGGGAAGGGGTTCAACTGCAGTACACTCTAGAAGAGTTGGGTTTTTTCCCTCGAACCCGGGCTCTGCCAATGTCCCTTTCAGGCCAGGCTGCGGTGGCAGCTAAAGGGCCAAGGCAGAAAATCAAGATGCAGAGGGGGTGAGGTGGGGCTGGGTGAGGAGACACTAGATCGCGTGCCAATGTTCCAGTCCGGTTTTTGCCTCCGACTAGGGACCGCACCCCCTCCCGCCATCCATCGCCCCGCCCCGCCCCGCCCCCCACCTTGGGGCAGGTGAGCGGCGGCCAATGGGCGAGCGCGGGGCAGGTGCCCGCTAACTCTCTCCTAGCAGAGCAGCAGCCAAGGCCTGGCTGGGCAGTTCTAGGAGGATCGTGGGCCGGGGTCGGTCTCAGGGTGACTTGTAAGGGAAAGAGCCGGGGGGACCGCAGAAGCGACTCGCAGTAGCATAAGCAGCCCCGAGCCTGGGCGGTTGCCGAGAGCTGCCCACTGGGCCGCGGGGACCACGCTCCTGGCCGTGCGCAGTGGCTCAACTCGGTGCTAGGACATTCGCACGCCCCTCGCCGCTCCGCGCCTGGCTCGCCCGCAAGGGCCGAGCGCGGGCGGGCGGGCGGGCGGGGGAGGTGAGGAGTGCGGGAGTGAGTGCATGTGCCTGGTTCGGTGCACACCCCGCAGGGCGGCAGCGCCAGGGAACCGAGCGCTTTCCAGAGCCCCGCTACCTCGCTCCGCTTCGGCGGCCGCGATCATGTTCCAGCCTGCGGCCAAGCGGGGTTTCACCATAGAATCCTTGGTGGCCAAGGATGGTGGTTCCAGCGGGAGCCCTGGCAGTGGGGGCGCGGGCTCCCATCCTTTGGCAGTGGCCGCCTCAGAGGAACCGCTCAGGCCCACGGCTCTCAACTACACTCACCCCAGTGCGGCCGAGGCGGCCTTCGTAAGTGGTTTCCCGGCCGCTGCCGCCGCGGGTGCCGGTCGCTCGCTCTACGGAGGGCCGGAGCTTGTGTTCCCCGAGGCCATGAACCATCCGGCGCTGACGGTGCACCCGGCGCACCAGCTGGGAGCCTCCTCGCTGCAACCCCCTCACTCTTTCTTCGGCGCCCAGCATCGGGACCCTCTCCACTTCTACCCCTGGGTGCTTCGGAATCGCTTCTTCGGCCACCGCTTCCAGGGTGAGTGACCACGTTGTGTTCATGACCCGGGGACGCGGGAGAGGACGCGGCGGGGCTGTTCAGAAGTTGTTACGGACAAGGCTCGGGGGAATCAGCCTTGGCTGTGCGCAGGCGATTAGCCTGTGATCTATGTTGGTTTCCTACCCGTGAAGTGAGGTTGGGACCTCCATGTTTTCCAAAGTATGTGGCTGGTTAGGATACAAGCTTAGGAGCTTTTTCTAACCCTCCCTTGGCCAACCTTAATTTCCTTTAGGACTAAACTGGTCCCATCCCTGAAAGTGCGTGGCCCTTCCCGCGCCAGAGCTTTGAGCTGTGACCGTACTTCGCTCTCACGGTCATTACAACTCTTGGTGCGTCCGCGCAGAGGAAAGTCCACCTGCGCTCCCTGGCTCTGTGGGAAGCAGGACAGTGTGGTTTACTCCGCTGTCTTGGGACGTTTCTCAGCAACCTTGGCCACACTCCTCCAAGTCACAAGTGGCCTCATGGACCTAAAGTGGGGAAGGCTTGCAGTATGAAAATTGGCTTTATTCATCGCTGACCTCCTCCGGTTGCTAGAAGCTCAGGACAGTCTTCTTGAGTGGTGGACGGGAGAAGGGGGCTTTTAAGGTCATAGATAGTCTTAGTTCCCCTCTCCATCTGCAACCCCGCAATTGGTTTGCTAATTAAGACCCCTCCAAGCGCCTTACAAACACACACACACACACACACACACACACACCAGTTGTCTGACTTTCTTAAAGAAATGAGAGTTGTGTTTATTGCAGTTTATTTTCTTCCTTGGATTTGTAGGGTTTTTTTTTCCCTTTCTTTCATTAAGAAAAAGACTGGCCTTGATACCTATAGCAATTGCTTTAGTTCCCAGTTTGGTATATAGACTGGACCTCAGTCTTCCGCGTTTCCATAGGTAAATTCAGCGTTCTGTGAAACAGCAGCAAAAAAGAAACAAGGTTGGCACATTGCTTCCAGGAACTACTTTGACAGTAAGCCAGGGCTACACGGCTAAAGTGAATCTGGTATTTGATGCAATTATTAATATAATAAAATATATTTGAAGCTTTAGCTTTAGTTGCTTGACTGCCTCGGAGAAAGCTATTTGGAGAGGGCCTTGGTTTGTCAGCCAATGACCCCAGCCTCACCTGGCCACGACATACTAACCTAGAAAATCCCGTTCATCCAATAGAGCAATTATTTCTGCAAGTATTTAAGAGGGCAGGTTTTTTTCCCCTCAAAGATTTCTCCAAGCTGGAGGGGTAAAGCCTACGGTATTGGTATTAATTGTTTTAACTAACATTTCCCACCACTCCACATTAATGCTTACTACCAAAATGAGGTTTTATTCAGATTTAGCCAACTACCCGAGGTCCCCGGTAGGCTCTATCTTCAGCTTTGCGCCTGCTAACGGAGTTTTGAGTCTTCGAGATTGTGAGCCCATGACTGAAGGGACCTGGGCTGAAGGGACCCTGGCTGAAGGGAACTGGTTTGTGAAAGATCAGGGGCCCTGGAGGAGAGGTTGCTGCCGGTTCCTAGCCTATTCCAGACCAGGAACACTCAAGAGGTTCAGCATATTCAAGGTGCCTCCTAGATGGGACTTTCCCGCTCTTAGTCCGGAGTCTCTGCCCGTTCTCTCCATCTTTCGCACCTCTGGACTAATCCGCCTCGCCCTGGACTGGTGGCACCTTTTGCGAGATCCAGCTTTCGGGCTCGGAGCATCCGCAGCCCGGCAAAGTCAATACATTCTCCGCAAAACCCTCTCGGAAATTTCCGCTACTCCCTAAGCCATCGGTCCCAGCTGATACGATGTGGAGTTCCACAAACGTTGGGGTTTTTTCTCTCCAGAACCGCGTCTCGACGCGGAGAAGGATTCCAGTATAGCCGCGCTTGCGAACTCGGAAATCCGATGGGCACTGACCGACCTTCTCAACTCCGAGGTGCAGCAGCCATGAAGCCTGCGTGCCGACTACGCTGACTCCTCCAGATCCCACCCGGCCTCGGATCTAAAAACTGAGCCGTCCCAGGCCCTCCGGCGCCGCGTTTTCTAGAGAACCGGGTCTCCGCGATGCTCTTTTCAGTCCCGTTTTGATGCAAGAAACCCTACCAGAACGAAAAGGAACCGTGTCCGCGTTCTGTGCGCAGCGCTTTCCGGCAGTGTGAGCCGGTGGCGCATGGAAGCCGCTTCTCCCCTAAGCGAAGAGGAGAAATCTGGGTGCACGGTCAGGACCTCCGAACTGCGGGCCAAACGGGAGGAACCCGCGAAGATTGAGCAAGGTTGGCGTCGTTTTAGTGATACTGCCCAGCGATTAGGAACTTTCTGGAGTGGAAAGCTACGTCTGAAGGGGACTAAGGGAAACCTAGCCCTCCCAACCCTCTGCGGTTGTGGATACTAGCTTCAAAGGGCGCCTTTGTTCGCACCGGACGAGAAGGGAAGAGGTTACCTCCGCTTTACCGTCACCCTCTCCCGATCCTAGCTCCAGGCCATTCCGCAGGGATGCCGGGCTCCAAGTCACTAGCTAAAGCCGCCTCTCCATCTAGGGCTGGAGTTCTAGCTCTGGGTGCTTCGGTATCTCATTCCCGCTGCTTCCCGCAGCCTGCTTCTTAGAATCTCCATTGCTAGCTCCCAGTCATCGCCTTGTAGAGGCCTGCAGAGACAAGATGTGGAAATTTTCACATCCTAACTCTTAATTCCGGGGAGGAATAGGTCATGTTCCTTTCCGATGGTTGTCTAAAACTGACACCTTCTCTCACAGCCTGAAATTGTTGAGTCCAAACAGGCTGTATCCCAGCCTCACGCTCGTTCCGTCCCGTGGTTCAGCTGAGAGCTGGGCAGGCTCTCCTGGAAGTGGTAGGGAGGTGTGGACCCTTTCTTATAGGTCAAGGAAAGAAGTGCCCAGGTACACAGACACCTCACCACCTTTCTTTACAGAAATATGTAGCTATTGATTAATATCGTCGGATTTTTGTTTTGTGCTAAACATCATCTTTCCCACTGGAAAAATGATTTGGTGTTTTTTAATCAAATAACTTACCATTTATCAATATTTTGGGTAATTTTCTAACTTCTTGATTCTTTCATAGTTGGGTCAGGAAGACTCCATTCGGGCCCATGTATAAGAACACATACTGGGGCGGGGGGGGGGGGGGGGGCACATGCTAACCTCTACAACAGGACATGCAGTTTCCCTGAGCCAAGCAAGACTGAGGACTGGAGGCAAAGAAGCCTTTGATCAGAACAGAGTTTGTTCTGGTCATCCTCATCCCATGGGGTTAAAAAGAGAGCGCTTTCCTCCTCTTCTCAGGTGACTGGCACACTCCCTCAACAGAGCGGTTAAGGAAGGCGCAGCAGAGCTCGGGCTTGCTTGCTCAGCTCCTCCCTTCCTTGCACACCTCTGCATGCCACTAACTCAGACTTGTGGCCTCCCCTTGCTGCAGCTTCATATCTACATAGGTTAGGCCAGACCCTTGGGGGGATGAGATAGCCAGACTGCTCCCCAAGGCTCCTCTCTGGATCATTTGTTCAGAGGAAGCCAGAGTTGAGGCTTTACCTGGATTCTGAACAATGTGGACTTTTGAAGCAATTTTTTCAATAAAGGCTTCTCATCCATTTCTCTCCCCTTTCCGTGGACTTCCAGACTGGTCTTCACACAAGGCTCCCAGTCTTCTTATTCACTCCAAGAACGGGCTTCTAATGTTTTCCCCTTTTTCTCTCTCTGGGAAGCTACCTCCTCCACTCTCCCTCTAGGACCTAATGAAACTCCTTCAGTCAGGCCTGAGATCCTGGGTGCTCCTACCCCCATGGCTTAGGGACACATGTCCATCCTTTACTCCCCAGTGACATCCCTCAGCCTGCTGTGTAGTTGTGCAGACCCAGCACTTGAAATGGGTAGGAGATAGGAGGTTAGTCCCAGGCAACTGTGTTCCAAACAGGATTCCAGCCACCCCACTGACTGGTGTAGGTCCCCAAAGCCCAGGGATATCTACTGACTGAATTTTAACAAGGGCACTCATGATGTGACTGTTTCACTCACATGGCCTTTCCAGAAATGGGGGATCTCATCTGAATCGTCCAGATTACTGTCTTCAGAATAAAACAGTAGGTCCAATTGAGTCAACCCAGTAGCCATCTCTGAAGAAATTAATTGGATCAGTCAATCTCAACAGCTAACTCTTGTCAAAACATCCCATCTAGGTCTCTGTGTTGTAGGGTCAGGGGAACCGATGCAGGCCACTGTGTGAGGACCAGTGCTTGCAGGCCTCTGAGAATATACAACTGTGTGAGGGCCCAGTGCGGGGGGGGGGATAAGGGGGGCTGTATGCTGCAGCTTGGGTAGAAGCCTGCTCTGGCTTTTCTACCTCCTGACCACCACCCCAGCCTTACTCAGTCCTTTCAGTGTAGGAGCAGAGGGTGGGAGCTTTGCCAAGGGACAGTCACACTCTGAAATCTTGTACAGTAATGGGAGGAAAAGACGGAGGGGAAGCTGGAGTGTATATTTACACACACCCAACGGGGAACGAATATTCTTGAGTGTGTGTGTGTGTGTGTGTGTGTGTGTGTGTGTGTGTGTGTGTGTGTTGAGAGGACAGCTTCTAGATATTTCTTTCTGCTCAGGACTACTCGGGGAGGTAGCCGGAGCCTTTCCAATGAGAAGAGTGCCCCTTCTTCTGTCTCTCCCTTATGGGCCTGTTCCCAGTGTTTAAGTCCTCAGGAGAGAAGGGAAGGGCAGGAAAAAAGTAGATTTGAGAACTCCAGAGTCTGCCTGCTTGCTGGACCTGGCTTGCTTTTACCTCCTTCGTGGTGGAGCCTAGGCCTGCTAGCAGGATTTTTCAGCAGCTAGTAGTAGCCTGGGAGCTTAGCTGTAGGGTACTTTACAGTCTTCCATGAAGTCTGTTGATCTACCTATCAGTCTTGTTCTTTCCCCCACCACCTCTCTGACCCCCAGCCCTGTCCTCTCTATAGTTGGTCCAGGAGGGGGACGCTTCAGGATTAGATCATTAAAAGCTAATCAATCTTTGGGGCCCGGGTGGAGGTAGAGTTGCAAGGGCACAGGAAAAGACCTAAGGGGCTTCTGCCATCCCTTGGCCTTTCTGCTTCCCCTGGCAATGCTGGATTTGGGCCGGTAGGGCCTTCATCAGGCCTGGACTCGCCTATTGGTTCTAGAGTGGATTCTGCTTGTCGTCCCCTGACGGTAGCTCTGGAGTGAGGTTTCAGGGTAGCGGCAAGGGAAAAGGGAGAAGTAGAGGAGGTGCCAGGATTTCTTAAGTGGCAGGGCGTTCGCGGCAGAGGCCAGGCGACTCACCGCGCCCCTTCTCTCTGTCTGTACCTGCGTGTGCTGCTATCGCCTCTGGCTGCAGCAAGCGACGTTCCCCAGGACGGGCTGCTTTTACACGGGCCCTTCGCACGCAAGCCCAAACGGATCCGCACGGCCTTCTCGCCCTCGCAGCTGCTGAGGCTGGAGCGAGCCTTCGAAAAGAATCACTACGTGGTGGGAGCTGAGCGGAAGCAGCTGGCCGGCAGCCTCAGTCTCTCTGAGACGCAGGTAAGCAACCCCCTGCTGCAGCCTCAGAGTGCCTGAGGTAGGCGGTTGGGTGCAGGTCTCCCTAGTCCTCGGGTTTCAAGAGCGACCTGCAGCGCCGCATCTCCCACCCCCAAACCCTACCCTTTCTTTCTGTTTGACCTGATAAGTTGCAGGAGTGTTGTTTTGTAATGAGACAAGGGCTCGCTGTGTAGCCCAGGCTGGCCTTGAACTCGCAGCAGTCCTCCTGTCTCTGACTCCTGCTTGTTGGCATCACAGACAAAAGCCAACTTGGGGAGCTTTCCTAGGTCTTATAATCAGGGCGAAGGAGCCCACCAGAAGCATGGAATTTGATCCGCAGTGCGAAGATCCCTAGCCTGTCTCCACTCTAAATGACACAGCACCCAAAAGTCTCTCTGTGTGTGTGTGTGTGGGGGGGGTGATCTCGTCATCTTTGCCCTGCTCGGTAGACCTTAGCTGACCTCCAGCGCCTGTGGTATGTGGACAAAGAAAGCCAGTGTCAGCTTCACAGCAGAAGGAATGAGTGAGTACAGGTCAGCTGTAGCTCCAGTGTGGTGACCCTGATCCCAACACAGAGCAGCTGGGGCTCTATGGACTGCGGCATATTCGCTGTTCTTCGTGCAGACATATGCCTCTAAAAGTGTTTTAGGAACTGAGGCAGGAGGCTTGAGCACGCAGGGCCTCCTGAGTTGGGAAGGGTGTGAAATGCATTGATGTTGGGGGACTTGAATGGAGGTGACATTATAATTCCCAGATAGGGCTTAGTAATTTATTATTTAAGGAAAAACATTAGAGAAGTCTAGGAAACGGTAAGGAGGCAAACATGAGGGATTTTTCTTTTTACAAGAACCTCACAATATATGAACACTGGGTGGAAGTGTCATCAAATACTTCGTCCACTCCTGTGTACAAGGACTGAGGCAGCTGAGTGACTCTCAGTCTGGCTGATATATTGACTGCTTTCCCGTATAGGCCTTCCGACCCTGCCAGTTCCCAGATGTCCAGCTCAGGCTCTGCTGGTTCTCCACCCTTCCACTGCTCCTTCCTCCTGTTCCACCCTGCTATACGATTCCCCACCGCCCCTCTTCAGGTAGTGGGTCTGCCTGTACCCTCCCATTAGCTTCTGGGGTAGACAGAGCCCCTCACTGCACCCCAGGCTTCCTGTACTGATCTCACCCCCGGTCCTGGCATTTTGGCTATTGTATCTGCTACCCTATATAACAGTTAAAGCATGGCCTCCTTCCAGGCTACCACAGAACTGCAGAACCTGGAGGTTTTGGGGGGTTGCTGGTTGACAGCTCTAACTGAAAAAAAAAATCTTACAAGGAACAGAGTTAATTTAAAAAACTGTTTTTAAAGAAGCAATGTTGAAAAACTAAGCTAATAAAATAACACCTCTTTTCCCTCCTGGCAAACAGTGCTTTACAATAATTGTTTAAAACAAGGTGTCAACTTAAGAATGGTGTTTATAATTAACTTCATGTAAAAAGTAATATTTATTAAATGTTAATTGCAGAAATGTAAGAAAACAAAACAGTTTATAATTCTACCACCCACAGATTAGCACTTGTTGAAATCACATCATTGTTTTTAAACTTTCCAATTTTTAGCCCAGTGAGAGCATGTTTAATTAATTTTCTTTCAAACTGAATCTAGCCTTCCTGTCAATTTTAGCTCCTAACAATGCTGGTTCATAGTTCACAGGCTGCTTGCTGCTCTCCTTTTTTTGTTATGGGACATTTCAAACATACATTTAGAACAAAGCCAAAGAGAACAATGTGATGTGTCTAGCTTGCCAATCATCTGGACTCTTGATAATCCTGTTCCTTCAGGAATGGTTCTTTTTACGTACAGAACAGCAATCTCTCCTATCACAGAACTCCCTGAGGAGCTGAGAAAAACTTCCTTGTAGTCCTGTCTTTCCAGGTAAAAACCTTGAGGCTAAGCAGGTACCCAAGTCAGCAGACATGACTTTGAATACATGGCTGCCTGCAGTGTGCAATGGGCAAGTTCCTTAACCTCTCTCAGTGGTGTCTTCTTCGGGAAAAAGTTATTTGAGGATTAGAGGCATCTTTTATGAACTCAAGTAACATCCGTTCCCATTCCTTGTCAGGCCCATTCTCTTCACTTAAAGTAATATGTCAGATTAGTAGCATAACAAAGGCCTTTCCTAGGTGTCCCCTGGCCAACATTCTTCCTGCCACATTCAATATCCATGGTCAGAGCTACTTTTCTATTGTCCTTGAAACTTTCTGTTTGAATGTACACTGTATGATTAGCTAGCCATCCCTCTCTCAGTATTCAACATGCAAAATTACCTGTCAAGTATCTGTTACTCCAATCAGCTCCCCGCTATGTGTTTCTAAAATGACACCTGCATTCGTCAGGCCTCTGTGCTCGGCCCGTCACATGTAATTGTCTTTTATCTAGCAACCTGTCTCTGTCTACATTCATTAAACTGTCTCCCCAAATCGGTAAGTGTTTTCTCCAAATTACATGCTTTTCTTCCTAATAATGACCTCCGTGTACCCATCTGTTGATCATCTCATCCATTTTGTCCTCTGTATGTCCACCATCCATTCCTAGAGGACTATCAGCAACTAACAATATCTTCACACACCTGCCCATGATTACCTATCACCTTCTCAACTCAGCTTGGCTCAGGCTTATCCCCAGGCTTCAGTTGTCACATTGCTGTGGTTGAATCCTCTCCAGCCTTGAATTTGTGAGGCTCATCCATCCACTTTCTATTTCTGACTTTCCTGTATTTGTGTGTGTTTGTGTAAGATCCCTCCTCCATGTTCCCAGAACTCACAGTGTCTCCCTTGCCTTTCCTAATAAGCCCCACATTTTGCTGTTATGACTTATTATCTGCCATGGCCATATGTCATTCTGTAGATCAGCTGCATCCATCTCCCAGGGAGCTCTTAGAATATGGGGATACCTAGGAGATGCTCTTAGGACATCCAAGTTGCATTCCAAGGGAAGAACATTTTTCCAGTAGCTCCCTGGGTAATTATGGTGAACAATAGATCCTAGCATCTTGACTGTAGGAAACAGAGGTCAAGCTTATTTCCTCATAGGATCTAGCACAATGCCCAACATGGAGTAGATATTCAGGGACTGTGTACTGAATAAAAAAGCCAGACATGGGGCTGGAGAGATGGCTCCATAGTTAAGAGTATTAGCTGTGCTTTCAGAGGACTGGGGTTCAATTCCCAGCACCCACATGGCAGCTCACACCATCTATAATTCCAATTCCAGTGGATCCAACACCCTCTTCTGGCCTCTGTGGGTACTGCATGATTGTGGTCCATATATACACATGCATGCACATAAATATTTTTCAAAAGTTTTCAGCCAGGCAAGCTGGTGTATATACCAGCACTCAGAAGGTGGAAACAGGAGGCTCAGAAGCTCAAGGTCATCCTGAGAGATACTAAAGCCATCCTGGCCTATGAGAGACCCTGTCTCAAATCAACAAATGAAACACTGTACTGACTGAGCAGGCACATGTATTTTGATACCCCACACAAGGCTAGCCTTTATCAATTACTCCAATGCTCTCTGCTTTGGCTGCTCCCTCCCTGTCTTGCCCCTCCAAATGTCCAGTCATACTGTCGTAGTTGATTGTTGGTTTTGATGGCACGAAGGCAGCCTATGTATGGATAAGTCTGAGATGGGGAGCTATGTGTTGGCAGAGCTCCATCTTGAGAGGCAGGTAGCCTGAGCTAACTGGTGCAGAGCTGTATGTACACCTTAGCTGAGAGGTAGAAAGATGGGGCCTGGGGCACAGACAGTGCTCCCTCTTGTGTTGTGCTCATTTGCTCCTCACCTCTGTGTTCAGCCTGGGGTATGGCTAGGAAGGTTCCAAGCTTGCATCCGTATGGCTGCTTGACAAATCTAGACCTGGATCAGACTAGCACCTCTAACACCATGAGGATGTGTGCCCAGCATAGGAGATGCCTGCTGACTGACTTCCTCAGACACCAAAACATCAGGCAATACCGAAGGTACCCCTCAGATGCCAGTGGACAGTCACCGGACAGGGGAATGAGTGCTGATCCTGGCTAGTTAAGTGTTCCGTTGACCCCCTAGACTGGACCAGCAGTGTCTGTCTTTTACTTTTGCTGAGTTGTGAGGGAGAAGGCAGGAATGTGGTCTTGGACCTTGGAGAATCTTCAAATGATGGGGAATACATGAATACCAGACAAGCCTGCAGGTCAAGGGCAGGGTAATCAACTGGAGTGCCCTGAAGTCAAAGCTCAGGCTGAGGGGGTCAGAGGAGATCAGATAGGCAGGAGGTTCTCAGCAGGCTCCTGGCCTCAAAGGTTTTGAGGGATATGTAAGGTTATAGGTGCAAGGAGATGAAGACAAGGGTTTGAAGAAGGTAAATTAAAATGGAGATAGAGATGCCAAAACCAGCTGCCATCATGGGGTTTGAGAGCAAGAGGGAGATCTCGAGAGGCTCCAGGATGTCTTACCTACCTATGGGATTTCCTTGCTTCCTGACATGGGATGGTCTGCCCTTGGAAGGATAGAGAGCAGGGAGATATCCAAGTGACTTGAGTTTTAGGGAAAAGGCAAAAAACCTTTGACACAAACTCATTTTGACTCTGGGATGACACACCTTTTCTGCTAAGCCTTGGCTCAAACATCTCCATATTCCTGATAGTCTAGAAGACCTACTTGGTGGGTTACAGAGAAACTAAGTGAGGTGCTGAGACAGGGACACAGACCTGAGAGCAGGTGAGTTTAACAGAGTAAGGGTGAGGATCTAGGCTGTGTGGAGGGAGCAGGATACAAGCTGAGTCAGGAGAAAGGGCTACAGCTAGTGGGCATGTCGGAAGTGGCCTTAGCTTGGCGGAGTGAGGGTTGAGTTGATTCTGAGCGTAGGAAGACTGACATGATCAAATGGCAAGAAATGGATCCCCCAAGAGAGGGCAGGGAAGAGAGCAGGCTGCAGGGTGGCTTGATTGATGCCTCCAAGCTGCTGTCTATTCTGAGGACTTTCTGTGTCTGAGACCGACAGACTCAGAAGACAGGCTTAAATTACAGCAGAAGAGCGCACAGTAGAACATACGGAGAACTTCCCATCTCAGAGCTACGAGATCTCAAAGACAGGACAGGGTCTTCTCTGGAAAGTGTACAGGCCCCTGGAGCCGAAAGGCTTGAGGCTGGGGGAATGGGGAGAAAGGTTGAGCGAGCGAGCCTTCCTTCGTCCAAAACAGACCACCCCAAAGTTCAGTGATGAGCTCTGAAACACCGGCAGGAGCTGCTTTCTACTCATTTCTAAGCTCGCTGTCCATTGTTTATGTATTCACGCACACGTCTTCACAGTAATGTAGAGGGACCAGTCCTCTGAGGACGTAGTCTGTTGGTCCATCCACAACAGTTTCTTGTTCATCACACACGCACGACTCAAGGTGAGCATTGCCCCTCTCTACAATGGCTCTCCCTCCTCCAGCTTCCTCCAGCAAATAGTCAATCCACTCTTTCTTACTTCCTTGTGCTTTTCCTGGTCTCAAATCTTCTGTGTACAAATTTCCTATCTAGTCTAGTTTTATTTCTGTGGCTGCTACTAAAATAGCCTGACCAAAAAAAAAAAAAAAAAACAACTTCAGGGAGGAAAGAGTTTATTTGGTTACAATTCCAGATTACAGTCCATCACCGAGGGAAGTCAAGACAGGGAGTCGAGGCAAGTACATAGAAGTAGGCCTGCTGGCTATTTCACACAAGAGCCTTTGACCAAGGAACTCACTTCACGGCCAAAGAAGTGCATCAGGAACCATGGACGATGTTGCTTGCCAGAGGGCAGGCAGGCTGTTTATGCTCAGCTGGCTTTCTTATGCAGTTCAAGATGGCCTGTCCAGGGAATGGCCTGGCCCACAGTGGGCTGGGCCTTCCTCCATTAATCATCAAGAGAATTCCCTACAGACATGGCCACAGGTCAATCTGATTTAGGCAAAGCCTCTATTGAGATTATCTTCTCAGAAAATTCTAGGGTGTGTTAAGTTGGCAGTTGAAGCTAACCAAGGTTGTTTGGTTTCTCCCAAACCAATTAATACAGAATTAAGAATTGATGCTCAGGCCAGTTTGGTCTACATGGGGTGTTCCAGACCAGTCAGAGCTACATAGTGAGACCCTGTCTCAACAAAACCGAACCAAACCAAAACCAAAAACACCCCCCCCCCAACAAACAAAAAAACCGTCTTGCAAAAGCATGTCTGCTAGTGGCTCTGCATTTTCGCACTCAGCATTTCCCCTGCCCTTTTCTGATTCGTTCCAGTCCCTCTTCTGCTGGCTCCGCCCATTTTCCAGATCTGTCCCTGGCACCACTTGCCTACAGTATGGGGTTGGGTCCCTCTACCTCCGTCTGACTGGATGGCCATACATGGACACAACTCTGGGCCTTGGGACTTAACTCCAAAGCCAGGAAGACACTGCTTTGTCTCCCTGAAGTCCAGATATGCCTGAGCAGGTTCTTGAAGGCCAAGTGAGAGTTCCAGGTTACACAACCCAGTCCAAAATGGGGAGTCTCAGAAGGGTTTATCTGGCTTCACCAAGAGATTGGGAGATACTCAGTGAAGCGGGAGTTCAGGAGACCATAGGAGCTTTTCCCTCAAACCACAGGGGTCAAGTTGGGTGGGTGGAGCCTCCAGTCAACATTCCACATATGTCTTTGAGGTTAAGAGAAGTTAATACATATTGGTGGGGAGAATATATAGTCAGGTATGACCTCTGAAAACTGGTTCCCATGGAGCTGGTAGTCACATTTTGTGATCTGCCTTCTTCCCGGGGCCGCTGCCCTCTAGCAAAAGGGCTGACCCCAGAGTTACCTAGTGGGTTAGGTTATAGGGTGTTACTATCATCTCCTTTTACCCTAGCAAGTCAGTTCCTTTCTTTATTTTTAAATCTAGGAGGGGGAAAAAGAACCCTTGATATCAGTAATGGGCTAAAGAAAATTCAGAAAAGTTAAGGGGACAAACAAAAGTCCCTGGTAATTTGGGTCCATTCCCTTCTGTTCTCTCTCGCCCGTGCATAGATCTCTGTCTCCCATGGCTGTGGGTACACTGTACCAACACTGCTCGTCCTGGCTTTTGTACTGTTATGAAGCCACAACTGTCCCTGCTATTACAGGCTCTATAAACAGCGTCTGGATACTCAGCCCAGGGCTGTTCTGCAGAAGACAGACAGGCTGCCTAAGAAGAGGCCTGTGCCCTGGTTTCTAGGGAGTGAGCGAGCTGCTTTCTTGTCTCCACTGTTGATTTTGAAATAATCTCATGTAACCAAGGCTGTCCTCAAAGTCACTGTTTAGCTGGGGATGAGCTTAAACTTCTGACCCTTCAGTCGCTACCTTTAAAGTGCTGGGACTGTGGACAAACACTGTCGCCTCTGATTTGCGTAGTGTTGGGGCTAGATCACAAGGCTCGGTGCGTGTGAGGCATAGTTGGGAAGCCTCTTTCATGTGCTCTGCCAGGATGCTGCCCAGGCCTGAAGCTGTGACAAGGCTTCTGCTCTGCCACTGATACTTTCCTTCCTTGGGGGAGAGTTGCCAGGCAAGGCTAGCATGCTAGGTCTGTCCCACCAGACGCCTCTGTAACCATGAGTCTCCAGAAGGAGTCTTGAGGATGGGACAAGGGAGAAAGGTACAGGAAGTGACCCTCTGTCTCTGGGTGTTGTCCATTGCCACCTGAAACCATTCACAACCAGTGCACTTGAACCTGTCAGATAGGACATCCTGTACCCAGATCTGAGTCACACACAGGAGGCAGGTAAACTCATCCACCACCGGCTGTCACAGTCACAGTGCACTCTGGGGTGGAGGGCAGGAGATGGGCTGGCTGTCACTGGTGTGCTGAGAACCATCCAGGGGCGAGATAGGCATGGAATCCAGAAGTCCTGAGCTCAAAGCACCCAATATCCTTCCCTGTCTACCCAAGGAGGAACAGGCTACAAGTTTGACCCCTGCCTTGGCTGGGAAGGAAGGAGTCCCTTGCCCCTAACTTCATTCACCAAAGCCAGGTACCAGATGCTCCCTGGACCAGATTTCTTTTCTTGACTGGTGGCATTTGGAGCACTGAGCACCACTGTTCCCACCACCAACCTAGTGTCAGGACAGATGGCTCAGTGGAGGCCTTTTTCTGGGACTGTGAGAAGAACCCGGGAGAGCCTCCATGACAGAGAGGAAGGCTGTGTGAGCTTGGCACATTCTAGGCATGAAACCATCCTACAGCCAGGATACCAGGCCTACTGCTGGCTGCCACTGCCTGCCTTTGCAGTTGTGTGCAAAGACTGCCTTCAGCCCTGCCCTGGGTTCTAGATCCCCCTTCAGCAGTCACTGCAGTTGCCAGAGCTGAAACGTTCACCACCATAGTACAAAAACAACCGAACGACGTTGTCTGAGCAGCCACGGCGGGCAAACCCGCTTGCTTTCATCCATGCTGCTATTCCTAGGAAGATTGGCAACTCCATTGCCCCACTACCCAAAGGATCCACTGGTACAGGAGACCAGGAGGTGCCTTGGAGCAGCAAGGGCTCCCAAATGCGTCTCTCCTGTGGATGAGGAATGTAAGTCCAGAGAAGGGAAGAGACTGAGCTGAGGAGAGCACCCGACTTACTCCTGCTAGCACCAAGGAGGATCTGGGCCTGGCTGGTCCTCAAGGCCAAGTGAAGGGGTGTGCAGTCAAAGCAGTGAACTCACGTTTCTTCCGGGGTGTGGAAGTACCGAGGGTGCATGGGGAGCCACTCATGGGAGGATGTGAGAGCTGAGTCATGGACTCCCAATAATGCTGGGAGAGGAGGAGGAGGAAGGAGGAATGATTGGAGTTGGGGGAGGAGGAAGGATGGTAGAGACGGACTAGATGGGCTTCCTGGAGATGCCTAGAATCGCAGGCGCATTCCTGCCATCCCAGAAGATGGTAGGCCCAGCTGTGCAAGCCCCACCCTTCTTCTTATAGGGACGCCCACTGCCTGGCACAGAAGTGAGGGCTCCCTATGTCCTCACTCACTTATGTCCTCCAATGTCTCTCCTGACTATTGTGTGACCCGTGGCATCTAGAGGGGCCACAAGAGCCGGTTCTGTTGGACCAGGAGGTTCAGAGCTGACCCTGTGTGTGTAGGGGGGTGCCCTCAGACAGAACTCTCCCCGTATTTGTCTGAAGGAGTCAGAGGTTCTTGGGTGAATTTCAGACTGCCCCGAGGAGCTGGTACCTGAGGGACAGGATTCGTCCACACAGCTCTGGCCTGCCCAGTTCTACTCTGAAGTAAATAGGACAATTTTCACAGGACTGCTAGGACAGGTTTCCAGGTTGAACAAGGCTGTGACAGAGAGCATGTGAGTTTTCAGTATCCATGAATGGTTCTGGGATCTTAGATGTAGTCTGGCTGTCACAGACTTTGTTCTTCCACCTCTAGGTTATGAAGCCTTGTCTGTCTCTGTGCGGCATTGTGGGACCAGCACAGGAGATGGAGTGGGCTTTAGGTCCTCTGGGGGTGACTACATTTTCTCTGGAGATTGGCAGAGCTCTCTCATGTCTGCTCACTGTGGCTGCAGGAACCAGGAGGCTCAGCAGCTATACCCGCTTTGTCTTTATTTGGGAGAGACTGGAAAACTGCCTCAGGTCCAGTCCTTCCCCTGCCCTCCTCACTGGCACCTGATAAGCAGTCTTCAGACCTGTCAAGTGGCAGATGCTTGGAAGGGAGAACCCTGGCCTGAGTAGCCTCAGTTCCCCATCTGACTCCCAGCTTAGCTGGAGTGTGGAGGCCATCTTGGCTGCTCTGGGTGTTTCTTACCTGTGCCCCTCCTTCCCGGCCCAGGTGAAGGTGTGGTTCCAGAATCGGAGGACAAAATACAAACGGCAGAAGCTGGAGGAGGAAGGGCCTGAGTCCGAGCAGAAGAAGAAGGGTTCCCACCATATCAACCGGTGGCGTATCGCCACGAAGCAGGCCAACGGGGAGGACATTGATGTCACCTCTAATGATTAGGGGAACAATCATGAGCCCACAAGGGCAGAGCATTGCTTGCTGCTGGCCGGGGCCCCAGGGGGCCCAAGCTGGACTCTGGCCAGTCCCTAGCCAGGCTGCAGGGAGGCCTCGAGTCACGGCCCCACAGGGCTTGGAGCCTGGGGCCATCACTGTCAGAAGGACAAGAAAATGGGCTGGCTGAGGCCTGGGACTGCTCAGCCTTCTGGTGGAGAGCCTGCTGCTTGGGTGGGCCACCATCACTGCAGCCTCCCAGCTGCTCTCATGTCTCTTTCTGTCTTTGTTTTGAGACATTTCTGTTTTAATTTATTTTCCAGGTACCTGCTATAGTTCTTAGTGATCCTCTCATGCCCCCCCCTTCCCTATGGGAATAATAAAAATCTCTCTCTTAATTGCACAGTCATCATCTTCAACTGTAGAGCCTGGATGGGGGTGGGTGGCAGTTCCCAGTGCAGTGGGGGCGGTCAGCAAGGGTGCTCAGGGCCCAGGAGCCTGAAGGGAAGCCTCGCTGGGTCTTTGCAAACTCATGGAGGGGCAGGAGGGCGGAGAATCCTTACACATACAGACTCGAGTGGTAGAATCCAGACGAAGGAGTGCTGGGAGTGGGTTAAGGCGGGTCCAAGTCCAGGCCTTGCACGAGGCAGCCTTTTTTTTAATTCAAATGCGAGATCTTACTCTGTTGCCCAAACTGGCTTCCTAGTCACATCAATCCCCCTGCCTCAGCCTCCTGAGTACTGGATTGTAAGTATGAGGACACACCTAGTGTCCATGGGCTTAATGGTGAGCTTGCAGAGGTCATCGGCAGAGAAAGGCAAGACGGTCCAGTGAACTCTTGTCCTTCTGCCCTTCAGTTTGTCTATTTGTCCTTCCCCCTTGACACACTTCCTCCATCCTGGAGAAGTTCGATTTGTGTTTCCAGCAGTCTCCCCAGCCAACACCCAGGCCTGCCTCTACTTTATCTCCCATGAACTCCCCAACCGTCCACTCTAGCCCTCTGCTGGCATAAATGGCAGTCACCAACCACTGTCCCAGTCCCCCTTGTAGCCACACCCATTCACTCCCTCCCTGAGCTAATCTGTTTCTCCACCTGCAGGAATGCCCTCCTTTTCTTCCTAACCCACCATGTTTCCATTTTGGGTACCTCGGCTCCGCTTCCTCTGGTCCATCCACACCTCATGTCTGTTCTACCCAGCTAGATTCCAGACCAGACAGTGGTGTCCAGTCATGCTTGGTCAATGCAGCTCCCGCAGCATCCCTGCCACCTGCCTGACCCCCGTCTGCTCTCTGGGAAGAGCACAGACATTAAGGGGCTTCTGTGAATATCTAAGAAGGTCCTCCATGCTGTGGCCAGGAGGGCTCTGTCACCACCCCCATCAGGCAGGATAGTGTCTCAGTCCTGTGCTGACTTGTGGTTTCTCCTACATTGCTCCTGGTGTCCCTGAGTCACGACTTTTGCTGGCCTGTGCTGTTCTTCCCATCTGGGAAGTTGGTGAGTACCCTGTGGACACCTGATCCAGGTTGAAGGCCCATGCGTGTTGCCTGGGCTAGGTGCAGAAAAGAACACGGGTTCTTTTGCCAAGAACACTCCCACTGTCCTCTGGGTACCCTTTTCAACTCTGCCTGTCTTGTTGATGTCCACTCCAATTTCCAGAAACCAAAAGACGTTGTTCCTCCTGTCCCCTCCTCCATCAAATGAACACATCCCACAAATCTTAAAAGTCTTAACCTGGCTGATTCTGAATTAAACCCTCGGCAACTCTTCCTACCAACCAAGTGCAGTAGTTGTGTGTCGGGGGGCGGGGGGTGCATGAACAGGTAGGGTGGGAGTTAGGAGAGGTTCCCATCTAAGCCCTAGTGGTGGTGGGACAGAAAGGGTGGGCCCTTCCTCTGAAGATCCTACCATGCTTGGCTGGGGGTGGGGGTGGGGGATGGGTCCTGGAAGATCACAGCAGAATGCCCTGTCAAGAAGATAAAGGACTAGAAGGACCGGAAACCTGCCAATCTTCCTAGGCAGGCCTGCTGGGGCGGGGCGGGGAGCCCCCTCCATCCCCCCATGTTGTGCCTCTCCCGCAGACGGTAAATATTGGTGTTGTGACTTCATTAATAAAGGCTTCTGTGAGCCTGAAAAACATGGAATCAGGATGAACTATTTTCTGAGCTGCGGGCTTGCCAGGTTTGCTAATTTGGGAGTTTTTGGGCCCTCTCCAGGGAACAAACCGAAGTCTCTCCCGAAGAGACGAAAGAGACGCAGATGCAGCCGAACAGGGAGAAGACAGGACTGCGGCTGCTTCATTCCCTGCAGCTCCTGCCCAGAGAGGGAGGCCTGCAAAGGGCCAGAGAGCAGACACTGGCCCCTCCCCTGCATCCATGCCTGGTGAACAGCTGCACCAGGCCTCCCTAGCCAAGCCTGCTTGGCCACTTCTCATCAGTGGTTTGCTGCCCTCCAGAGCCTCAGCGAATGACGGCCTGATTCTTCTGAGCTGCTATGAGCCTAGAGTCAGCCGCACAAGCCTCAAGGGTAGCAAGCAGGAGTCCTTAACCCTTTGGCGCAATCCATGTCCTTCCTCTCAGGGAGCAGTGACTCTGCTTCCTCTTGTCCACAGAACTTTCCCAGATTGGTGTCTGCATGGTGCCTGCTGTCTTTACCAACTTCTCCTCACAGGTGCTGAGGTTGCTTCCCACAGGGCATCGAGCCTTCTTTGACTGGAGAGCCAGGCTCTGCCTGAGAGGAGCCAGCTTGCCCACAGGCCTCTCTGGGACCCTGCTCCAGGGCAGTCCCACAGTGGGAGGGGATGGGGGCAGCAGGCTTAGCGGTGCAGGCCCAGCCAGCTTTCCTGTCAGACGGCGCTGCCAAGGCGGAGCCAGACATCGGGAACAGGTTTAACCAATTACCCGAGCGCCCCATCTGCTGTCTGGGGTTCGTGTGAGGGTGAGTGCATGTGAGGGTGTTTGGAGTGTCTGGGAGGGCTGTGGGCGTGCGCGAGAGTGTGACTGTGTGGGTGGGTGTGGGTGTGTGGCTGTGCATGTGTGCTGTGCACGTGCGCAGAGTGTGGCTGCACATCCTGGCCATGCCCCCTCATTTGTCCAAGACCGAAGCTAGCAGCTTCTGGTCTTCCTGCCCACCCTCAAAACCTTGGGGTCTCAGTGGTCAACCTACCTAGCGCTTCAGCTTCTTGTCAGCAGCTCTCCTCGTGCCTGGGAAGAGCATTTTCAAGTCACATGTTCAGATGCCCTTTGCTGACTCCTCCTGTGACTTGTTCACTCTCTCATCCACGTGTGGGACCCCACATGACCCTCCCAGCTGTTCCCCCATTCTCTCTCAGATATGCCCTTGTCCTGCTGTCCTTGGTGGTACCAAGCTAGAAAGTCTTCTCAGACCACTCCTGCACCTACGTGTTGAGGCGTGAGGACACTGGATGATGGTGCATGGTGACACCCTCTGCATGCTCTCCGTGCAACCCCTATTCTCCTTGCTAAATCCACTCTTCCTCCCTAGAGAGAGGCCTTAGACTGTCACTCTTCTCCAAGAGCCTCTTCCTGGCTACTGTCAGCAGGGAATCTTTCCTTCCTCCCTTCCTTCCTTCCTTCCTTCCTTCCTTCCTTCCTTCCTTCCTTCCTTCCTCCCTCCCTCCCTCCCTCCCTCCCTCCCTCCCTCCCTCCTTGCTTCCTTCCTTCCTTCCTTCCTTCCTCCCTCCCTCCCTCCCTCCCCCCCCCCCTCCCTCCCTCCCTCCTTCCCTCCCTTCCTCCCTCCCTCCTTGCTTCCTTCCTTCTTTCCTTCCTTCCCTGCCTCCCTCCTTCCTTCCTTCCTTCCTTCCTTCCTTCCTTCCTTCCTTCCCTCCCTCCCTCCTTACTTCCTTCCTTCCATCCTTCCTTCCCTCCTTCTTTCCCCTCTCCCCCTCCTTCCCTTTAGAGACAGGGTATCATTTATTTCAGGCTGGCTTCCTATTTAATAAAAAACAGAGAATGAATTTGAACTTCCGATCCTCCTGCCTTCATCTCCTGAGTGCTAGGATTACCTGGGTGTCCCGCCATGCTTAGTTTAAGTGATGCTGGAGCTTATACCCAGGGCTTTATGAATGCCAGGCAACCAATGCATCTGCATCCCCGATTTCGTGACTTCCATCTTCAGGGAGAAAAATGAACCCTGGAAGGCATGCCTTTGCATCACTTAGAGGAAGGAAGTTTAGGCTGGGAAACTGAGGGGAGCTGACAAAAAGGAACAATTAACAAATCTGGAAAGCCATGAAGGATGCTGAAGCAGCCCTTATAAGATGGGGTGCCTGAATAGTATAGCCCTTAGTAACAAGGAGAAGGCTGGGTAGACCTTAGTAACAAGGAGAAGGCTGGGTAGCCCTTAGGCCTTAGGGCAGGAGGAGTGACCAGCAGAACCTGGAGCTATGACCCAGGACAGAAAGAAATCTGCAAAAGTTGGAGGTCCAGGAAGAATTCAGCCCCTCGGTCCTGTTTGGCCAATCCTATCTTCCTGCTCCTGACTCCATTGGTGGAAGTTAGTCTACAAGGTCTCCCATGAGTCCACCTCTCCTGGTGCATGTGCCTTTGACAGGGCCTTACCCTTGACTCTCCCATCCATGGATACTTCTGTATCTAATTCTTCCTCTCCACCTGCCTCCTGTAATCTCCTTGGCTCTCTTGAAGGTCTCAAGAGCTCTCTGAAGTGGGATCCCGTCTATCTGTCCCTCAGGCCACACTCTCCTCCGTTTCGGGTCTTTCTCTTGCCTTAATTTCTTTTCACCCCTGCCTAAGTCTCCCTTGTATGACCATTGAGTTCAGTGTCGGGCTGACATGACATATAACCATATCTCTCTGCCAGCTTACAAACAAAGCTGAAGAATTACTTCCAATCAGGGCTAGGGAGATGGCTTACTTAGGAAAGTGCTTCCCATGCAAACACATAGACCTGAGTTTGATCCTCATGTAAAAATAAACAAACACCTCCCCACCCCCACCCCCGCGCACACTGTCATGATCCCAGTGCTGGGGAG